CAAGTGACGAAAAGTTTGTATTGGTAACTACACGATTTCTGTCATCAGCTGTTTCGAACTGCAAGATTCAACAAAGATTGTGTACTTGTTTAGTTGTTTGGTAGCACAAAATGACAAATTTCTAAGAAGTCATAATTCAATTGTAATCAAGCCATATAAAAATTCTATAGAGAATTCCACAACATAGGAAATCTACAGAGTTGTGTATGTTTAACAAATAAATCCATAATCTTATGGTCATGATTTTATTGTAACAACATTTATCACTCAATTGGTTTTTTAAGAACCGATGAAAATACAAAGAAGGAAAAAAAGGGGAATAATGTTGGTATAGGTGTCCTAGAGACAATCATTTTAAGGACATATATACATGATCACATTAATAATTATATTGGATTATAATTATGGTATTGCAATTAATTAAATAAGTGTTTGATTGTTTGCAATTTATTAATTAATTGCTCCCTTGAGTTGATACTGTCATTAGCAGAGTGAGATGTTAATTGATAAAGTATAACTCTAAAATCGCTTCAATCGATGATCATTAAGAAAGAAATATTAATGATATGTCATAGATTGACATGTGGTCTGCATCATATTCTTATAGAATATAGTATGTCTCACTGCTATGAATAACTGTTATTCGTGATGGACACATGGATACTGGAGAGTATTGGCATACCCTACTGATAAACCATTTGTTTATGTGTCTATGGGAGTATCGGTGTGTGGAATGGTGTAATAGTCCTTTGACTTGAGTTCAATATGCAATTCATGTATAGAGTGATTTACTTAGACCTAGTCCAACGCTTACGCCCTTATGGGTAGACACGAGCTTGTATTGGGTAGATTATGATATACATGGAATTGGTAGTTGAGTCAAGATAGGATTCATTCCTCGAATATAGTTTTGAGAGAACACTCGTTTTCTCTATATTGGGTTGATAAAGTCATTGGCCAATGCACGTGATTATATTTGAAATGGTGTTCAAATATAATTGATAAAATCAACCAGTGAGATGAGATAAAATGATTAAGTTGTTTGGATAGACACACGTTCAAGTCCTAAGCTTAATCGAGTGGGTCGTGAATGAAGGGACCGTATCACTATTGAGTTCTACACTAAAGGTTTGTTTGCTTGTCCATGTAAACGTACTTCATATTTTGAGTTCGTCCTTCGACGCAGGCTAGGAGTTTCGTAAGGATCATAAATTAGATTTATGTCAATATATGAAGGGCTATAGTGTCACACAATATGCAATCAGTTTTCCGACTAAGAGTGAATCGAGAGTGTCAAATATTCAATTAGATTGGAATGTTTATTTATGAGTAATGAGATAATTTTCTATTTGATAGAAAATATTTAATTAAGTTAAATTAGATTTATACTTAATCAGTAATGAGATAATTTTCTATTTGATGGAGAATATTTAATTAAGTTAAATTAGATTTATATTTAATTAAAATATTAATTGGATTAGGTCCAATTACTCATTGGGTTGTAGGGTATCCTAAGGCCCATATATTAGGTTTTGACCTAATTATAAATATCTCATTATCTCTTCAAAATCGTTAATCGTTGGATACGTGTTTTAGTCATAGTATTTGACTATCACTTTTCCTTTTACATATTTGTCTGTTTAAGCTTGTGTTATAACTTTTGATGTTTTGTAACATATGATACCGAGTTTGTATATGGAAAGCGCAAAAGCAAAATGGAGTTTGATCAGGCAAAACTACACAACGATTTTACTTGTTACTGAATAATTGGTCTTTTTGGGTAAAATTTCAACATACCAATACCAATAATTACAGTTCAACTATTTAGATTTTTTATTATGAATCAATACCAATATACGTGCGGGGATATACATATGTTAGTCCAACAATTAAAAAAAAAAATAATAATAAAAAACACGATAACTGCAGTGTCAAAAAAAATACGCGATATTTCAAGAAACGCAGTAACCCTAATCATTGAAAACTTTTCCCTCTAAATATCCCGAAAAAGAAAAACCCTCGTCTGCTCGTCGGTCGTTGAATTCAAAATCGAATTTCGAATCGATGTTCGCGATTCTCCGGGGCAGACGACTAAGGTTCCTACCGGAGCTCTCCATTTTGGCCGCCCGTCAATTGTGGACTTCTGAAAATGCCTTCTTTTTCAGGGCGTTCACCTCCGGGAAACCACCGCCAAGTGTTCGCGAAAATGACCCTGAGCAATCGTTCGCCTTCTCCTACCTCGTCAGCTCATGCGGATTGGCTCCAGACGTCGCCGCCCGCGCCTCCAGTAAACTCCATCTTAAATCGCCTGAAAATCCTGACGCCGTCTTGAATCTCCTCAGAGAGTACGGATTCACGGCCGCTGACATCTCTGTGATGGTCACCCGCTGGCCAAACGTTCTCTGTTCCTGCCCAGACAAAACCCTTTTGCCCAAGCTCGAATTTTTCACCTCCATTGGCGTCCTCCCCATACTGGCCGGGAAGCTGTCCCGAATCCCTAACGCCTTATGGTACAGCCTGAAGAACTCAATCATTCCCTCATATGCTTTACTGAAAAACCTGCTCGGGTCGGATAAGCTGGTAGTGCAAGTCTTTAAACGGGATCCCCTGATCTTCGGCTGGTGTATAGCCGGCAACTTCTCCTCCAACCTCTCAATTCTTGCAGCCTGTGGGGTCCCCTCATCGTCTCTCATCTCGCTGGTCACGACCCAGCCACGCATGCTTAGGGTTTCTCCAGAGAAGCTATCCTCGCAGGTGGATCGAGCAATAGAAATGGGGTTTCTCGTGTCCAAAGATGCATTTTTGAAGGCCATTCGGGTTTTGGTGGGTTTTGAGGAGTCGACCCTTAAGCGCAAGATGGAGGTTTATAGGCAGTGCGGCTGGTCTGAATCAGACATCAGAACGGCCTTTCTGAGTCAGGCGCTCTGTATGGGCTTGTCTGAGAAGAAGATATTGAAGAGTATGGCTTTTCTCGTTGATAAATTCGGGTGTGCACCAGGTGACGTGCCTCGGTGCCCTATGCTTCTTGGGTACAGCGTTGAAAAGAGAATGAAGCCAAGGTGGGCAGTTGCTACGGTTTTGAGTGAGAAGGGGCTGAAGAATGCTTCTGTCACGTCCTTGCTGACAGTGTCCGAGAAGATTTTCTTGAAGACCTATGTCGAGAAGTACAAGAAGCATATTCCCGAACTTTTGGACATTTATCGAGGTAATCAAATCCTGGCCCGCACTTCCTGAATTGGTTTCCGGTCAATGGGTGATGTTAGTTGATGATTTTGTTTGTTGTCTTGGGAGAATTATTTCCAGAATCTTGTTTTCTATGTTACATTCGTAATTCTCTTGCATTTGAGTTGCTGAAAGGTCTTTTCACTCTTTATGAGTTGGTCGATGTTTTCTGTACGTATTTAGTAGCTATATATACACTAGTATGAGAAGCAAATTGTGTTCCATAGCCAGAACCAGATGTTCTTCTTCTTCTTCTTCATAATCTTTTTAAGTATTTTCTGAAGCCCAAACATTTCAAGTGGACTTCTTAAGTCCAACGTTTCTCGTTTCGTACTTTGTTTCCATAATTCTTTGGACGTTTTAACCGGACTTAAACATTTTAGAGTATGTCGTCTAGTCCGTTAAGCATGAGACATACACAAGAAATCATTACACGCCAAATATCCGACTCCATATGCCTCTGTTTATCGTTGTCTTCCGAGGGAACAATTTACGGATCTTTCCATTAGGAAACGAGAACGAAAAAATCACATTTTTATTGACTCTTAGAATCGGTGCCGTTTTGATTTAATAATAGAACAGTGACAACACAAATCTGAACTGATATCCATAAAGTTCAACAGCCAACACTTGAAAATGACAAATATTCAATTTTGGCCCTCAAACGAAATTTATACATGTGATAGTTATGAATTCATATTTATTTTTATTCTTTAAAGAAGAGAGAAAAGTGTTTGTTTTTTTATTTCAAAATATATTTCTTTTAAAAAATGCATGATATTATTTATACTTAAAATGTCATGCATTGCCTGTACGACTTACTTATCTTGCATTTTAATAATTCTTTTAACACCATATAATAATTTTATAGGGAAATTTATTTAACTGATGAATAATTTATTAGTTTTTAATTTATATTAATAGATAATTTGTTTGTTCTGAATATATGAACATTTGATAATAAATACTAAATATAGTAACTTTTAATATTTGTTTGTAGCTTGAGTTAATCACTGGTTTTCTAACTTTGAGCTAATATACATTAATAGAATGGGTTATTCTAACAACACAAATTGACACATAGAATTAGAGCATAAAATTAAACACATAGTGATATAATCTAAGGAGTAGCTCGAACGAACTGATCTCAGCTAGGTCGGGGTGAATGGACTTTTCATATAGCTTGACGATATAACAACTCGGCTGGACCGGTCTTTTATAGAGTTCGGGTTATATGGTTGAAACCTAGCATCTCAGATACGAGGCAATGACCTCTTGACAGTTAGTGGTATTACCGACCTATGGACAGTTTGTACATGTAGACCTACTGACATTGTATTTGGTCGACCTATGTGTAGTTATACATGTAGACCTACTAACAATATATCTAGCCAACCTACGGACAATTATGCATGTAGACCTACTGACAGTGCACTTGGCACCTATGGACAATTACCATAAGAAAACATGCAGGTTGTTTGTATACGAAAGCCTATGAACAGTTTATACATGCGGACTTATGTACGATATTATAAATAAGGGACTTAAGAAATAAGACACTTTAAGGGTGACTTGGAAGGTAATCACAAAAAGAATTTGGATCATCTTGGAGATAAGAACGGGTTTTGGGTAGGCCTTAGGGGCAACAAGATAACTGCCGGGGCAGACCTTCGGGCAGCCAGGGCACCCGCACAGTGGGATCATGCAGACCTTCGGGCAACCAGGTAACAGTACAATTAGGTAGATCTTGGGCAACAAGGCAAGTGTTTACTATATATAGATCTCAGGTTTGAAAGTGTAAGGGTTACACGCTTTAAGGTTTACCGCTAGGAACAACCCCGACGTGTTTTGCAGGTAACTCCGGAGATCAAACCGGTTTGAGGTCATAGAAGAGCGGTTCATGAAGGAATTGCACATCACAAAAAATTATGATGCACATAATTAAGACTCACTAGATGTTAACCTATGATGAACTCTGAAATTTCTAGGGAGGACGACTATTAGTAGACATGCCCTCGTTTGGTAGAAGACCCTGAACCGGCATGAACTGTCGGTTCATGCCTGGTTTCAGTGATTCTGGGGTTTTTCTTAACTGAACGTTGGATTCCCAACAGTCAGATTCATCCGAAGGCCAGACTCAATCTGGTTGTGGGGTCCCCAACAGTCAACCCAACCCGGCGCAGACAAAAAAAAAAGTTGAAAATCCAGTCACGTCTTCCGGCCTGGACACGACGGGTGAAAACAAATTAAGACCCGAAACCGACTCGTTTGTAGCGCAGGGCTGGTTCAATAGCCCGTACATACGGACATGTTCCGGGCCGACGCTAACAATGTCTTACTATTAGAATAGTGGGTCGGCTTGGGCCTCTATTAGACCAAGACAAAAACTTGGGTCAGGCTTTTATCTATAAAGTGCTTTTAAAGCTTTGATAGCAGGGCCGTAGCTAGGATTTGTAAATTACTCGAGCTAAAATTATAGCAAAAAATTATGATAAAATGCTTTTACAACAACTAATTTTGGAAATATATTCATTTAATTAATATTTTTGTAGTTTAAATTTATAACTGGACTTAAAAAAAAAACCAATGACACTTCATTATGACGGGAAGAAAAAATAAAAATTAAAAAGAATGAAAAAGAACACTTATTAGGAATAAATTTAACTTATTGAACAATTATTTCTCAAATTTTTCAGATTTAACTTGTAGTCTAAATTAAGTGTTCTAAAAAAGAACACATATAAAAAAGAACACTAACTGTTTGATTTTGTCACAAAACCCCTCAAAATTAATATTTATGAGATGGTTATTTAAATTTAAAATTGTTTGGTGATTTTATTTGATTTTGTTATGCTATATATATTTTTATTAGTTAGACTAGCATTATAAATATATTGTCCAATTTCAATTTTAATATATATATATATACAAATAATAGAGAGTTAGATATACAAATATTTTTATATATATTTAGAAAAAAAAAAAAGGAGTTTAGGAGAGTGTAGTTTTGGAAAGGTCTCTAATCAAAATCATGACCAGTACTTATTTTCATAAAACAATACTGTTAGACACTAAAAATCAAAATCATTGGTGTATTCATCTAATTTAGAAACTGTAAACAGAGTAATGAAAATAATTAAATCAAATGATTGGTGTATTAATCTAGCCTAGGAATTGTAAACAGAGTAATGAAAATAATTCAAAATTTTTTACTTCTATTAATGATTTACAAGATTATTTTCACAAGAAAGGTTAGGACTTCTATCATTTTCAAGGAATTCGAACCGACCAAATTGTATTCGAGGAGAAGATCGATAAATAATGGCAATATTTTTTCTTTCCCACTGCGAATATATATATAATGCTCTCCATATGAAGATGCAAAGCATTATTGTACGGAGATCACTAGAATAAGTAATAGAAGTCTATCGCCAGATTCAGAACACTGTCAACTATGAGGACATGACATATTTAGTAGAATGTGTTGTACTAAAAAAAAGAGAGAAAGAAGACTCTCCGGATTGTTCTAGAACCTACCAATTCCTTCTCTGCCACTTCATTAAGGATGGCAGCGGTTCGGGTTCGGATCGGATGGAACCTCAGGGCACCCAAAACCAAAACCCAAACTTAAAAACCAAAACCAAAACCAAAACTGTTTCGGGTGAAAATCCTTCACCAAAACCAAAACACGCGGATACCCAAAAACCAAACGGATACCCAAAAAACCAAAAATATTATAATAAAACACCAAAGACAACAACATAAAACATGATAACTTAGAGAGTACCAGGCAACCAGTCACAAATTAGCAAGTACCAACGTACAGTACAAGCCATAAAGGTAGTAGAGTACATAGCTAAGCCAAGCCATCACGGGAGATGGGGAGATGATAAGAGGGAGAGGAAATTTTCACTTATATAGCTAGGGTTTTTGGTGGGCTTTTTGATGGGCCGTCTATTTTGGGCACCCAACGGAGCACCACGGGCGAAATATAGGATTCGCACCAAAACCGAAGACTTTCGGGTACCCGAAACCGCAAAACCATGGGTGAAATTTGAGAACCAAAACCGAAAACCGCAGAACCAAAAACCGCAGATATCCGAACCGAAACCGAACCGCTGCCATCCCTACACTTCATTGCTCGTTTTTAGCAGCGCGACAAGGAATACCACAATCCACAAGCATTATAGTTGAACTTAACAGTCTGACTTGAGCAAGTGACGAAAAGTTTGTATTGGTAACTACACGATTTCTGTCATCAGCTGTTTCGAACTGCAAGATTCAACAAAGATTGTGTACTTGTTTAGTTGTTTGGTAGCACAAAATGACAAATTTCTAAGAAGTCATAATTCAATTGTAATCAAGCCATATAAAAATTCTATAGAGAATTCCACAACATAGGAAATCTACAGAGTTGTGTATGTTTAACAAATAAATCCATAATCTTATGGTCATGATTTTATTGTAACAACATTTATCACTCAATTGGTTTTTTAAGAACCGATGAAAATACAAAGAAGGAAAAAAAGGGGAATAATGTTGGTATAGGTGTCCTAGAGACAATCATTTTAAGGACATATATACATGATCACATTAATAATTATATTGGATTATAATTATGGTATTGCAATTAATTAAATAAGTGTTTGATTGTTTGCAATTTATTAATTAATTGCTCCCTTGAGTTGATACTGTCATTAGCAGAGTGAGATGTTAATTGATAAAGTATAACTCTAAAATCGCTTCAATCGATGATCATTAAGAAAGAAATATTAATGATATGTCATAGATTGACATGTGGTCTGCATCATATTCTTATAGAATATAGTATGTCTCACTGCTATGAATAACTGTTATTCGTGATGGACACATGGATACTGGAGAGTATTGGCATACCCTACTGATAAACCATTTGTTTATGTGTCTATGGGAGTATCGGTGTGTGGAATGGTGTAATAGTCCTTTGACTTGAGTTCAATATGCAATTCATGTATAGAGTGATTTACTTAGACCTAGTCCAACGCTTACGCCCTTATGGGTAGACACGAGCTTGTATTGGGTAGATTATGATATACATGGAATTGGTAGTTGAGTCAAGATAGGATTCATTCCTCGAATATAGTTTTGAGAGAACACTCGTTTTCTCTATATTGGGTTGATAAAGTCATTGGCCAATGCACGTGATTATATTTGAAATGGTGTTCAAATATAATTGATAAAATCAACCAGTGAGATGAGATAAAATGATTAAGTTGTTTGGATAGACACACGTTCAAGTCCTAAGCTTAATCGAGTGGGTCGTGAATGAAGGGACCGTATCACTATTGAGTTCTACACTAAAGGTTTGTTTGCTTGTCCATGTAAACGTACTTCATATTTTGAGTTCGTCCTTCGACGCAGGCTAGGAGTTTCGTAAGGATCATAAATTAGATTTATGTCAATATATGAAGGGCTATAGTGTCACACAATATGCAATCAGTTTTCCGACTAAGAGTGAATCGAGAGTGTCAAATATTCAATTAGATTGGAATGTTTATTTATGAGTAATGAGATAATTTTCTATTTGATAGAAAATATTTAATTAAGTTAAATTAGATTTATACTTAATCAGTAATGAGATAATTTTCTATTTGATGGAGAATATTTAATTAAGTTAAATTAGATTTATATTTAATTAAAATATTAATTGGATTAGGTCCAATTACTCATTGGGTTGTAGGGTATCCTAAGGCCCATATATTAGGTTTTGACCTAATTATAAATATCTCATTATCTCTTCAAAATCGTTAATCGTTGGATACGTGTTTTAGTCATAGTATTTGACTATCACTTTTCCTTTTACATATTTGTCTGTTTAAGCTTGTGTTATAACTTTTGATGTTTTGTAACATATGATACCGAGTTTGTATATGGAAAGCGCAAAAGCAAAATGGAGTTTGATCAGGCAAAACTACACAACGATTTTACTTGTTACTGAATAATTGGTCTTTTTGGGTAAAATTTCAACATACCAATACCAATAATTACAGTTCAACTATTTAGATTTTTTATTATGAATCAATACCAATATACGTGCGGGGATATACATATGTTAGTCCAACAATTAAAAAAAAAAATAATAATAAAAAACACGATAACTGCAGTGTCAAAAAAAATACGCGATATTTCAAGAAACGCAGTAACCCTAATCATTGAAAACTTTTCCCTCTAAATATCCCGAAAAAGAAAAACCCTCGTCTGCTCGTCGGTCGTTGAATTCAAAATCGAATTTCGAATCGATGTTCGCGATTCTCCGGGGCAGACGACTAAGGTTCCTACCGGAGCTCTCCATTTTGGCCGCCCGTCAATTGTGGACTTCTGAAAATGCCTTCTTTTTCAGGGCGTTCACCTCCGGGAAACCACCGCCAAGTGTTCGCGAAAATGACCCTGAGCAATCGTTCGCCTTCTCCTACCTCGTCAGCTCATGCGGATTGGCTCCAGACGTCGCCGCCCGCGCCTCCAGTAAACTCCATCTTAAATCGCCTGAAAATCCTGACGCCGTCTTGAATCTCCTCAGAGAGTACGGATTCACGGCCGCTGACATCTCTGTGATGGTCACCCGCTGGCCAAACGTTCTCTGTTCCTGCCCAGACAAAACCCTTTTGCCCAAGCTCGAATTTTTCACCTCCATTGGCGTCCTCCCCATACTGGCCGGGAAGCTGTCCCGAATCCCTAACGCCTTATGGTACAGCCTGAAGAACTCAATCATTCCCTCATATGCTTTACTGAAAAACCTGCTCGGGTCGGATAAGCTGGTAGTGCAAGTCTTTAAACGGGATCCCCTGATCTTCGGCTGGTGTATAGCCGGCAACTTCTCCTCCAACCTCTCAATTCTTGCAGCCTGTGGGGTCCCCTCATCGTCTCTCATCTCGCTGGTCACGACCCAGCCACGCATGCTTAGGGTTTCTCCAGAGAAGCTATCCTCGCAGGTGGATCGAGCAATAGAAATGGGGTTTCTCGTGTCCAAAGATGCATTTTTGAAGGCCATTCGGGTTTTGGTGGGTTTTGAGGAGTCGACCCTTAAGCGCAAGATGGAGGTTTATAGGCAGTGCGGCTGGTCTGAATCAGACATCAGAACGGCCTTTCTGAGTCAGGCGCTCTGTATGGGCTTGTCTGAGAAGAAGATATTGAAGAGTATGGCTTTTCTCGTTGATAAATTCGGGTGTGCACCAGGTGACGTGGCTCGGTGCCCTATGCTTCTTGGGTACAGCGTTGAAAAGAGAATGAAGCCAAGGTGGGCAGTTGCTACGGTTTTGAGTGAGAAGGGGCTGAAGAATGCTTCTGTCACGTCCTTGCTGACAGTGTC